CCGAAGGATTCCCACGGGATTCCTAAGGACCCCTAAGGATTCCGAAGAGATTCTTAAGGATTCCTAACGGATTACTACTAGGTTTCCCTGGATTCTTGAGATTTCTAAAGTCCTGGATTCCGCATGCCGCGTTCCTGGATTTCTGATTTGCTACAGTTCGGGGGTTCTATAGATTCTTTGATTTCTACTGATCCGAGGAAATCTTCGAGTTTCAAAGAGTCCTGGGTTCCTGGCGTCTCGGCTTCTCCTCAATTTCTGGATTCTGGTCGTTCTATTTCCAGGTTCTGCAGGAATTCCATGGAAATCCTTCCGTGACGGCTCGGGAAGCCCGCCGTCTTTCCAACGCTTTTCCGCCGCCCCCCGCCGCCTTTCCGCCTTTCCGCCGTCGTTGCGCCACCCTTCCGCCATCCTTCCGCCGCCCTTCCGCCGCCCTTCCGCCACCCTTCCGCCGCAACCTTTCCGCTGCCCTTCCGCCGCCCTTCCGCCCTGCCGCCGCCCTTCCGCCGCGCCCTTCCGCCGCCCTTCCGCCGCCCTTCCGCCACCCTTCCGCCGCCCTTCCGCCGTCCTTCCGCCACCTTTCCGCCGCCCTCCGCTTGGGCTGACCTCAATGGTACTCAAGGTAGTGGCCGCCTCCTCCATCGCACTTCATAGCGTATCATAGCATGGCACTGCATAGCATACTAAAGCATAGCACTGCATTGCTATGGCAGAGCAAAGCACTGCACAGCATTGCATCACAGCATCGCATAGCACAGCATAACACGTCATGGCATTGCATAGCATCGCATTTCATAGCATAACATGGCATTGCATTGGTTTTTGAGGCATAGCATTGCGTAGCATCGCATACATAGCATATCACTGCATAGCAGATGCGCGCATGTTTGAAGCATCGCGTCTATGGGGAGACGGAGAACGATGAGGAGGAAGAGGAGGAGGAGGAGGAGGAGGCGCAGGAGGAGGAGGAGGAGGAGGAGGAGGAGGAGAGGAGTAGGGGGAGAGGGGAGAAGGAGGAGGAGGAGGGGAGGAGAGAGGAGATATGAGGAGGAGGAGGAGGAGGAGGAGATATGAGGAGGAGGAGGAGGATACAGGAGGAAAGAGGAGGAGCAGGGAGGAGGAGTGGGAGGGGGAACGAGGAGGAGAGAGGAGGAGGAGGAGAGGGGGAAAGAGAAGGAGGAGGGGATATATGACCCCGTATTGTACTTGCGCCCAGCGGGCTCGTGGGATTTCACATTATCCCCGCAATGGGATACCTTGGCAGCTATTCGACACGTTGGTGATGACAATTATGCTGATGACGATGCCCAGGATGCCCCTTTGTTCATCAATCCTGACGGTGACGACGATGCTGATGATGTCGTTGATGATGATGCTGATGACGATGATGCGGATGATAATAACGGTCACGATGACAATGACCATGACGATGATGACCATGATGATGATGATGATGAAGACTACGACGATGACGAGGATGATGATGATGGTGGTGGTGATGATGATGATGAGGATGATGATGATGACGACGATGATGATAATGATGGTTATGATGATGATGGTGATGGTGGTGATGATGATGATGGTGGTGGTGCTTACGATGATGACGAGGGGGGGGGGGAGGAGGAGGAAAAGGATAATGATAACGATGATGACAATGACGACGACGACGATGATGATGATGACGATGACGGTGGCGATGACGAGGACGATGATGGTGATGATGGTGATGATGATGACGACGACGATGAATGATGATGATGATGACGGTGATCCGGTTGATCTTGATGATGAGGCTGATGATGATGATGATTACGAGGACGACGCTGACGATGACGTTGACGAGTGACGCTGACGCTGAAAATGACGATTGCGCTGATGCTGGCTCTGTTGCTTCATGTCGGGGGTACGACCACTTCTCGTCGGTACTTGATTCACGCCGTCGCCAGTAGCTGAATCTACTGGCGCGTAGCTCACCCCATCGTCCGTCAGCATTTTGGCACAAGTCGTACTTGCCAGCCTCAGCTGATCACCTGGCGCGCACAATGCCGAAAGGCACGCACGGTATCCAGAAGAAGATCGGCTGGCTGGAGGCAGAGACGGCCAAGCTCCAAGTGAAGATGGACAAGGTGAACGAACACCTGACCAAGTACCGCAAACGTCTCCAAGTGGAGGCTTCTTCGGGCTTACCTTCCAGTTATTCTTCTGCTTCTTCGTCGTCGAGCTCGTCTTCAGCGTCTTCGGCATCACCTTCTAAACGCGCTGCTTCTGCAGGCGTCGGCGCGCAAGCCTGCCCTGTGCCGCTGTCGCTATGTGACGCCCCCGGTGGCCTTATGCCTGGTGCTTCTAATTCGTCTGCCGCCGGTAGTGCGGCCCAGCCAGCGGTCCTCGCCGTCGTTGCTGCGCCTGCCAATGGCGGCGCTCCAGATCCCGCGCGTGCGAAAAGGCGTCGTGGGTGTGCATACTTCGTGCCTGCGGACTCGCGCCCATTGTGTTATTGTCGCGGGAAGGGGCGCCCGACGGGCGGCCGCGTCCACGTTTATTCTGCCAACGATTGCGCGAAGAAGAGGGCGTGAGAAAATTGCGCTACCGAGGAACCCCACATACTAATATTATGGCCGGAGTGATGATAGCTGAAGTGAAGCATGTGAGAATGACGTTGATGGCTGTCGCCACCCCCAGCGCACCCCCTGCGGCGTCGAGGAAAAGCCACGCCTGCCACGCCTTGCGGGGCCGCAGCGGATAGGGGCACCACCCCCGCCGCACCCCCTGCGGCGTCGAGGAAGTGCCGCGCCCGCCACGCTTTGCGAGCCCGCAACGGATAGGGAGACCGCCCCCAGCGCACCCCCTGCGGCGTCGAGGACATGCAGCGCCTGCCGCGCTGTGCGAGGCTGCGACGGATCGGGAGACCACCCCCAGCGCGCCCCCTGCGGCGTCGAGGAAGTGCCACGCCTGCCACGCTTCGCGAGGCCGCAACGGATAGGGTGACCACCCCCAGCGCACCCCCTGTGGCGTCGAGGAAGTGCCGCGCCTGCCACGCTGTACGAGGCCGCGACAGATGTGGGGACCACCCCCTGCGCACCCTCTGCGGCGTCGAGAATATGCCGCGCCTGCCATGCCCTGCGTCATGGCCCGCATGAGCGGCCCGCTCGGGGACCGTTCCCTGCGAGCCCCCGGCGGTGTAGAGAATGCGCCGTGTCTGCCGCGCCTTGCGCCATGGCCCGCATAGGCGCCGCGCTCGGATACCACCCCCTGCGCAACCCCTACGGGGTGAGGGAAGTGCCACGCCTGCCACGCCCTGCGCCATGGCCCGCGTAGACGCCGCGCTCGGAGGCCGCCCCCCGCGCACCCCCTACGAGGTCGAGGGAAGTGCCACACCTGCCACGCCCTGCGCCATGGCCCGCATGGACGCCGCGCCGCGCTCGGAGACCACCCCCTGCGCACCCCCTACGAGGTCGAACGCCTGTCACGCACCGCGCCGTGGCCCGCGTAAGCGCCGCGCTCGGGGACCACTCCCTGCGCGCCCCCTACGACGTCGAGAAAGTGCCACACCTGCCACGCCCTGCGCCGTGGCCCGCATAGACGCCGCGTTCGGAGACCACCCCCTGCGCACCCCCATACGGGGTGAGGGAAGTGCCACACCTGCCACGCCCTGTGCCATGGCCCGCATAGACGCCGCGCTCGGAGACCGCCCCCTGCACACCCCCTACGAGGTCGAGGAAGTGCCACACCTGCCACGCCCTGCGCCATGGCCCGCGTGGACGCCGCGCTCGGAGACCACCCCGTGCGCACCCCCTACGAGGTCGAGAAAGTGCCACACCTGCAACGCCTTGCGCCATGGCCCGCATAAGCGCCGCGCTCGGAGACCACCCCCTGCGCACCCCCTACGAGGTCGAGAAAGTGCCACACCTGCCACGCCCTGCGCCATGGCCCGCATTAGACGCCGCGCTCGGAAACCACCCCCTGCGCACCCCCTACGAGATCGAGAAAGTGCCGCGCCTGCCACACCCTTCGCAGCGGCCCGCATGGACGCCGCGCTCGGAGACCACCCCCTGCGCACCCCCTACGAAGTGGAGGAAGTGCCGCACCTGCCACGCCCTGCGCCGTGGCCCGCGTCTTGGACGCCTGTTGGCCCGTCTTGGGGCCCTCTAGGGGTATGCGGGGGGCCCTCGTGGAGGCTTCTTCAGCCGTCTGGGGGCGGGTTTGGGGGCCTCTTGGGCCGTCGGGGAGCATCGGAAACCCAGAAGCCGAACTTGTGAAAAATGTATGCTTCACGAAGGGAATGGGCCAATTTTTGCGTCTAGGGACCCTTTTGGGGCGCATCTCGGAGGCCTCTGGGGGACTCGTGGGGACCTCTTCTGCCGTCGAGGAGGCCTCGTGGCCCGTCTTTGGGCCACCTTGGGCATCTTGGAGCGCTCGTTGGGCGTCCCGGAGCCATTTCGAGGCCACCAGAGGAGTCCCTGCACGATTTTCACGAGGTTTTGCACGATTTTCGGGAGCGGATGGCCCCTCCGGGGGATTTGATCCGACCCCCCCCCTCCAAATCGACCGGACCGGGCTCCCGGGGGAGGGGTTTGGGGAGGGGGAACATCTCACACGCCGATGAACCCCAAGGGGTCGGCGGATTTGTCTGATGTTTTTGAGGGATGTTTGTGCTGGCTACTTTTCGGCGTTCCAACGGCCCGAGACGGCCCCAAGAGGCCCCCGAGGTCGCCCCAAGATCGCCCAAAAGGCTTCCAAGATGGCCCTGTGACGGCCCAGGAGGCCCCCAAGACGGCCCCAAGAGGGCCCCAAGGCGGCTCAAGGGGCCTCCAAGATGCCCCAAATGGCTTCTAAGACAGTCCTAAAGTGCCTCAAGAGGGTCCCAAGTCGGTTCAGAAAGGCCCCCAAGACGGCTTCCGACGGCGCCAGACGGGCCAGGAACGCCCTAAGACAGTCAAAGAGGTCCTCAAGAAGCCCCCAAAGGCCCCCAAGAGGCCCAAGGAGGCCTCCAAGAGGCCCGTAGCCATTTTGGCTCAAGCCGGCAGTGCTCAAATTTCCCTCGTTTCCCGCTCTATTGCCCTTTGTCCCAAGTCCTGTTTGGGCCTCTCATGGAAATCAGCGGCGTGACGTTCGGAGTGCAGGACTTCCGGCAGCAGGGGCGCACGCGCGAGGAGTACCACCGCCTGCTCTCGTCCCAGGCGGGCGACACGCGGAACCGAATCTTCAACGTAGATTCGGGCGCGAGCACCTTCAACATGAACTCGCGCGCACGGAGCCTCGGGCTCCCAGGTGCACACCCAAAGGGCGAGCATCCGCGGACAAGGTCATTTGTGTCATCGAGCCTTACCAACGGAGACTGCTTGGCCGAAAAGCTGCGCTGGAGGCTTCTGCTTCGAGTGGCAGGAACGTCGTCGGCCACGTGAGCATCAAGGACGGCAGGGTGTACCAGGGCACGCGGGCCAGCTTCTCGCGGCTCGCCTGGAAAGAGTCGGGCCCCAGGGCGCGCGCGCCCGTGCAGCCCAAGAAGGCGTAGCACGGCGAGCTCCGTAGCCATTTTGGCTCAAGCCACTCAAGCTCAGGGCGGCATATCAGAGGCTCACGCGCCAGCTTGTGCCCACGGCCGCGGCTTTTCTGGTGAACCCGAAGGTTGCCCTGTCCTCGAGCTCGGCCCGTCCGCAAAGCCATGCCCGCGGACGTTAGCCACCCCCAGCTGACCCGGCTCCCCTGCGAGAGCGGGCCTTCCGACCAGGAGGAGGGCGCCGCTGCCGGCGGCGCCGCCGCGCGCGCGCCCGCGGCGCGGGCGGCGGCCCCGCTGGCGGCGGTCGCGGCGGCGCTGCTGCTGCTGGTGGTGGTGGCCGGGCGCCCCGCGGGGGCCCGGGCCGGCGCCAGGAGCAAGGGAATTGTCTCCATGTCGTCTACGGGCGAGTGCATTCTCTATGGGTACTCTATGCTCGAGCCCTACGGCACCTCGCAGGCCGAGCTTTTCGAAGCCGAACCCGGGTGGGTCTGGCTGACCAACAGCAGCACCGTCGCCGTGCAGGGACTTCTCGGCGAGTTGGATCCCCCGAAGACAGGCGAAGCGTTGGTCCTGAAAGAGATCACCATCGGTGGCCCCAGCCTGTACGGAGGCGTGGTGCACATCGCGGCCCACGAGACCATATGGTATCCGCCAAGCGGTGAGAGAGTTATCATCCTCGCCGAGGACATGTCGCTGTGGTCGTTGCCAGGCGTCCTCGAAACGTCGGTGGATCACAATGGGGAATCGGTCCAGCCGGATCGCGCGGATCTCCCGATGCATGTGGTGCATGCGAAGCTTGGGGGCTTCGAAATGGAGGTCGATCGGTGGAACGACGTCGGCACCACCGAAAAGTTCATGAATGTCAAGATCGTCAAGCCCGTGGAGAGCTCAGAGACAGGCCTCTGCCCGAATTCCGAAGGAATAGCGGTACCAGATGCCGAAGTGTTCGCCGTCCATCATAGCCCATCACCAACGGGCGATACTTCGGCAGGCGCACAGGCCTCGGCCCTTGTTAACTCAGGAGGCATCCATATCTTCGCCAACGGCAGCAACTTCTCGACCGCCTTGGAGATCGCCTCGAACACCTTGGAGATCGCCTCGAACACCTCGAACGCCTCGATCGCGTCAATCGCAGACAAATCAGGCACTGCAGACACGTTCCTGCATTTCGTTTTGATTTGGGCCATTGCAAGTTCGGTTGTGCCGTTCATTATGTGAGGCGCGAGCGACGGTAGTAGTTAGAAGGATTAGCCATCTGTGCTCAATAGGAGCACTTTTTGGGTAGACCCCTCGGCTTGCAAGGGGTGAACATGGCATGGGGACGGTCATGGAGCGCACAGTTGAGCTGAACTTTTTTATGTTTGAGGATTTTCCACACTGATCATTTTTCTCGCGAGAGCCGTCCGGAGAGCACAAAGACAGCACGTTCAGATTAATGTTTGTTTCGTGCGGTTGTTCTAGTTGTGGCCAGCTTTCGCAGGAGTGATGAAGAGGTATGCTGGACATTACCTTTATCTCGCAGATCATCCCGACTGCGCTATGGAACCTGCTCAGCGCCACGCAGCGTAGGTTTTCCAGGTGATTTTTGACCATCTGGCGCACCATACAAAAAAAAAAAGAAGGCGTAGCACGGCGAGCGCCCCGAGTTGCCGGGGCTGCGAAGCAGCGGCCGGCCGCCGTCTGGGGGGTTAAGCGGATCTGTCGGTCGTGCACAGGGAGGGCGCAGAGAGGAAGGCCGAGGCCTGTTGGCGCTGGTGCGCCGCGGCCTTGCTGCGGCCGGGGCGCTCTGCTGTGTCCAGGGCCTTCGCATCACAGGAAAGCGAGGCCCCCAAGAGGTCTTCAAGAGGCCCTCAGGAAGCTCCCAGGAAACTCCAAGAGTACCCCAAGAGGCTCCCTGAAGGCTTCCTCCTACTCCTCATCCTTCTCTTCCTCCCTCTCCTGACCCTCCCTTTCTTCCTCCTCCAAGCGTTCCCCCAAGAGTTTCAAGAACGGCTTGGGCATAGTCGTATAGCTTGGTCAAGCTGGGGCCCAACGTTTAGCCACAGAGGCGCTTCCCAAAAGGCAGGGGGCGGTGGTGATTCGCCGTATGCGTCTTCGATCCGCCGCCCCCTGGGATCTTGCCACAGGGGTGCCTGACGTGCTCAGGTTCAGGAGGTATTTGGTTTTGTTTAACTCCACTTGGTGCTTCGGCCCAGCGTGCCGGCCACCCGGAAAGCTCTTCCAGGCTTGGCTTCAAAGGTTTTCCTGCTCCAGATGGCTCCTAGATGGCCCAAGATGGACTCCAAGACGACCAAGATGGTCTCCAATTTCGCCCAAGATGCTCTAAGATGGCCTCCAAGACGGCCCAAGAGAGTCCAAGATGCCTCCGAGACGGCCCAAGATGGGGCCTTCAAGACGGCCCAAGAGGCCTCTAAGAGGTCCTCCAGGAGTTTCCGAAGAGGCCAACATCATTGATTTACATTGGGTATTTGAAGGATGTTGGCATTTGCTTCTATTCGGCCTTCCGACGGCCCAAGACGGCCCAAGAGGCTCCCACGATTGCCCCAAGATCTCCAAGAAGTCTTCAATGTGGCCCCAGGACAGCCCAAAAGGCTTCCAAGACTGCCCCTAAAGGGCCCCAAGACGGCCCAGGAGACCCTGAAGCGCTCCAAGAGGGCCCCAAGACGGCCCAGATAGGATCCCAAGACGGCTTCCGACGGCGTCAGACGGGCGGAGAACGCCGCAAGATTGGCAAAGGGGCCCCCAAGCAGCCCCCAAGAGGCCCCAGGAGGCCCCCAAGAGGCCTGAAAGAGGCCCCCGGGAAGCTCCCAGGAGGCCCCAAAGCTCCCAAGAGGCTCCTCATCCTTCCCTTCAAAGTAATTTGTCCTCCCTCTCCTCATCCTCCACTTCCTCCCCCACGTGTTCCCCGAAGGGCTTCCGCAGCGGCTGGGGGAATGCGTTGTCTGATCGCACGGAAAACTTTGCCCAAACGTTGAGCCACATGTGCGCATCCTAAAAGGCAGGGTGCGGTGGTGATTCCCCGTAGGCGTCTTCGACATATGACGACAGATAGGCTGACATACAGTCGGCCCAGATTAGTAGGTCGACCCTGCCAAATCAAGGGTACCCTTGTGTCTTGTGTCTCGCGATCCATGCTTCCTACATTCCTGTGGGATGTGTCCCTCGAAAGGGTTCGTGTGTCCTCTCGCGTGTCCTCTCCAATCAAGCCCGGCTGTATAACCCCCTCCTTTCCCCACAGCCCAGCGCCCCCCAACTAGGATCATCCAGCATTCGCTAACCAATTTCGCTGGCCAGATGTTGCAGCTTGGATGGCCACTGGCATTGCATCCTTCTGGCTGGCCTCGACCGTTCCCTCCCCCCCTTCGATCCTGATCTTCCGCCTGCGAGGTGCCCACAGACAGACCGTCGCCGACGTCCTTCGCCCCGGAGGACGAGGCGGTAGCGATCCCGCCGACGGAGCTGCAGGCCCCGAGGGGGGGCAGCGGGGCCACGCACCGGCTGCGCGGAGCAGAGGTGTCGAGACGGAGGGCCATCGCCCTTCCCCCTCCTTCTCCTCCCCCCTCCGGGCACCCCTCCAACCTCTCCTCTCCCCCTCCTCTCTTCACCCCCTCCCTCTGATCCCTCCTCCCCTTTCCCTGTGTCCCGCGTCCTGTCTCGCTGCCCGCTTCTCCGCTCCCATCCACCCCCCTCCCACGTCCTCCTTTTCCCACCTTCCCTGCCGCCTCTTCCGTCCGCCTCCCCCGCGCTGCCCAAGGAAGAGGGGGGAGGGGAGGAAAAGGGGAGGATGGGGTGAGGGGATGGGGGGGAAAGGGGAGGGGAGGTCGCAGCTGTTCGGACACGGGTGTCCGGGCCCGGCGGGTGCTAGCGCCGCCTGGACCAACCTCGCATTGGCGGGAGGCACCGCTTGACAAACAGGGTGGAAACAACCTCCCCCTGGCGCGGTCGAAAAGGAACCCCGAGTGGAGAACGTGGCGCGGGGGGCGAGGCCCGCCCCCTCTGCGCGTCCATGCTGTAGGGAGGCATCGGCTTCAAGCGCGCTTGGGCATGCGCACCTCAGTGCCTCGTGGAGGACGGCGCCGCCCTGGGGGGGGGCCCCTCGGCGGCCCCATGCCAGGTCCACAGAACGTGTTGCCAGGCGTTCTCGCAGCGCACGAAAGAGAGGAGGATGCCAGCACTGGTGCGTAGCGGTGAGCAGCAAGTCGCGCAGTGAGAGTGGCCCTAGGGACAGCAGGCGTGCGGAAGGCCTGTTGGAGCTCGTTCCAGGCAGACGGTGCTCTGTGGGAGCTGTCGAGGAGGGGCCTGGACTGTTCCTGGATGCGATGCGCAGAGTTTACGCAGCGTGAGTGCGAGGCTGGAGGCACGCTGTTGCAGCGCCGTCGTGAGGCGTGGCGGGAGGGCACGCCTCCGATCGGTGCGCTGGACTGGTCTCACTCGGGCGACTGCACCCTGGTGGGTGGGACTGGGCCCTGGGTCCCCGTTCCCTGGTGGGGCCCGGGGGTGTGCCTGGTGGCAGGAGGCGCTGTGTTCGGGTGGCCGGGTGTGCGACGGCACTGACCCGCCCAGCGGGCTGGGGGGCGACGGAGCTGGTCCCCGGGGCGCAGTCCGCTGTGCTTCGCCTGCCATGCGCAGACCCTTTCCCAGGCGGGTGGCACTGCTGGCGCGGTTGTGCACTGGGGTGTGACTGCCCGTGTCGGGGTGGGCGGTAGGGTCCGTACTGTCTCCCTTGTGGTCCGCCCCTGGGTTATTCTGAGCGGGTCGCAGTGTAGCGCCTGAGGTGGGTTCCTGGTGGACCTCCGCCTCCTGGGTCGCCATTGCCACGTGGCCGCTTGGACGTGAATGTGGACTACCGTTGTCCGCGTCGTGGCCATCGCTGACGTGACGACCTTTTGGGTGAGGAGTGTCGTCGTGAGCAGGCGATGGAGATGACCAGGCGCCCCCCCGGCATCTTCCGCACTCGCCAGTGGTTTTGCGCACAGGGGGCGTTTCTGCGCGCGCGCGCGCCCGTGCTGCAGGAGATCACGTGGACTGTGGAGTCACATATCTGACGGCGGCGTAGCGTCCCTCGGCGGGCGGCCCGGCCCCGCGCGGCGCATCGATGCTCTTCGGAGCAGGCTGGGACCTGCAGCTCGCCAGCTGGGTAGTAGACGTCGACAGAGCCATTCGCGAGGATCGGCACGGCGGCGCAACAGAGTTCCCCCATCATGGAACTCTCGGTTTCGAAAGGCGGCGGAGGAGGAGGTTGAGGGCGAGGGGGGAAGACCCAGGCGCCCGGCGCCCAGTGACCCCCGCGCCTCGCCACCGACGCCAATGCGCTGGCAGCAGGCATGAAGGAGGAGGAGGCCGGCATTGCGTCATCCGCATCTGCGGCCGGAGTCACCCCGAAGGCCCGTGCCGCTCCACATTCCCAGAGGCCTTGACTTCAAAGTGGGGGGGGGGTCTTCGTCATCGCACGCGCGATGAACGAGCGAGAGAGGAGGTGGGCCCTGTTGCAGCTGGAGCTTCGCACACGGCGGGCGTCGCAGGCAGCCTGGGGCCACCTCGCAGTCGATGCATATGGTGGCCGCGCCGCGCGCCAAGAGGGCGCCCCTGCGCGGCCGCGCGCAGCGCGAAAGCTCTGCCATCGGCGACGCCTGCCTGGGGGCCAGCTGCCACGGGGCGGCCCCGCAACGACCGGCCAGCACATCCCTGCCGTCGTCGAGTGTGGCCAGCCCCCAACCCACCCGAACGAAGGATTGCAAAAAAAAACGAAGGATTGCAAACAAAAAAAAAGGATTGCAATCCTTCGTTCGAATGAAGAGGGCAATCCTTCGTTCGAAGGTTTTTTTTTGCAATCCTTCGTTCGAAGGACGAGGGCAGGGCGCGTCGACTGCCGATCCGTCGGAGAGACGTGGCCTTGAGAAGGCCCTATATTCCTCTGGCGCGTTGGGTCTGGCGGGCGACCACGGGCGCCCGCACCATCGCTAAAAATTGTTTTTTTTTGGACGACGAGATGTTTGGAAGATTTGTTCGAAGGATTGCAAAACAACGAAGAATTGCAAAAAAAAAAAAACGAAGGATTGATTGCAAAAACGAAAGTTTTTTTTTTGTTTGCAATCCTTTGTTTTTTTTTGCAATCCGGTGTTGATAGTTTACGGTCGCGCTGTCTGTGCGTTGTCTTGGCTGGGATGCGCAGGGCGGCGCGCGCGCGCCGGATGATTCCTCGGAGTCTCAGAGGAATCTCTGGAGATGCCAGGTTCGCCCTCTCTTTCGGGTGATCGCGTGGCTCTTGGTCCCTCGTTCGATTCATTTCTCTTCGCGCGAGATTCCCCCAGGTCCTGTTTGTTGTCGCGGTGGCCAACAAATCACATCGTCACCTCCACCCCAGGTTCGCCGCGCATTCCCTGCTGTTCCCCCATCGCCTCGCCGCCCGGGCCCCTCCCGCACGGGGGCCCGACGTGAAAGCGAACGCGCCCGACGCCACTCCGAAGAGCGCAATGCGCACATGGCAGCATCCTTGTCGATATCAGTCAGCCAGCTGATCTGCGCCAGCACCTCAAGTACGATAGGTTTGCGTCGTGTCGACCAGCGGCGACCCCAGCGCGGACGTTCAAGGTTGAACGCCGCCGGCGACCCAGAATCGATCGATGTTGAACGATCGGACGTTGCGGCAGCGGCCGATCGTTCAAGGTTGAACGATCCCTGCGGTGTCAAAAACCAACGCTGGGGTCGGCACGACACGAACCTGCCGTATTTTCTGCGCAGAGGGCATCTCATCGCTCTGCTCTGGGAGCGCTGCCTCGAAGAGTTGGCGGACCACCCCTCTTTCGGGCCGAGCGCAGACCGCGGACACTTGCACCTGACAGTGGATGGTGCGGCTCCCGCGCGTGGGCACAATCCGGTTGGATGCGCAGTTTCTCCTGTCAGTGCCGCTCGCGATAAGGTGCCAGCGGATCTTGAGTGACTTCTTCGGGCCGTCTCAAAGAGAATCCGCGAAGCTTTCTCCTTCTCCTTGGCCCCCGCTCCCCCCGTCGCCCTTCCCGTTTCATCCTCCCGCCCCCGCCCCCCGGGGCTCCGCCATCCCCCCCTCCCTTCGTCCGACGCCCGAGGCGCTGCGGCGCGCCTTGGGCGTCGAGCCCGAAGGGGCCACGGCCTTTGCCTTCGCGGTGGGCTTTGCCGCAGGCTTCGCCGCGGGGTCCGCGGTCTTGCTTTTCGGCGCCATCGTCGGCGCCCGGGCAAGGCCGCGGCCTGCGAGGAAACTGAAGGACAGCCGAGTCGAAAGAAGATAGGGAGATCCATTCGTCGTCGCAAACCCCGCCCACCCTGGACCCGCAGGCAAGACGCGTCGCCAGACGGCTGCGCGCAGCGCGCTAAACGGCGCACTAAATTGCGCACTAAATGGCGCGCTAAATTGCGCGCTACATGACACGGTAAATGGCGCGCTAAAAGGCGCACCGAATGGCGAATTAAACGGCGCGCTAAGCGGCGCGCTAAGCGGCGCGCTAACGTCTGCGCTGAAAAGCAACCAGTAACGCGCCGAACCACCGAAACCGCCCCGCGCTGATTTGCTGGCTCAACGCGCCGCTAAGTTTACACATTGATGTAAAGTGTAGATTAGCGGCGCATCTAGCCTGCAACTGAGTGCGATTGAATACTTTGCCACGTATTCCGGACCTGTCCAGGGCCCAGTCAAGCCCAGGGACAGTTCGGCGCCGACCCCGGCAGAACGGGGGCGCAAACACCGCGGCCCCCGCAAGCCAACCACGAGCCCCGCGCAAGCTCGCGGCCCCCGGCCGCACAAAAGGGTACGCTAAAAATCGCACGGCACGGCGCGCTAAACGGCGCATTAACCAGCGCGCTAAACAGTGCGTTACGCAGCTTGCTAAACAGCGCGCTGAACAGCGCATTGAATGGCGCGCCGTTCAGGGCGGCAGCTCGTGACCGCCCGAGCTATCCGTTGACGCTCCGCGCCAAGTAGCGCGCGTCCGTGAACAGGCGAGCCCGTGCAGAGACCCGCTCGCCGCCAACAGGCCGCGGCAGGTCTTCGCCACCCTCCAGAAGGGCATCAGGCAAGCCCGTTGCACGCAATCTTTTTTTGCAATCCTGTTTTTTTGCAATCCTTGGTTTTTTTGCAATCCTTCGTTTTTTTGCAATCCTTCGATATGGGGCAATCCTGCACCCGAGGCAGACCCCGGACGACATCAGAGACGCGCTCGGCGCTTCACCCCCCCAAGGAGCGACCCGCGCAGGCCCCCGGGCAGGCAGCGGGCAGGCCCCCTGGTAGCACCAGATCCGCTCTGAAAGCGCTTTCCGAGAAACTCGGGCCGGGCGAAAGGGGGGGATTGGGAAAGGGGGGGTTACGAAATTTGCTGCATGCAGCTGGTTTCGGCCTCACCGAGGTGCCCATTCCTCGATACATGGCCGCCTCCGGCGCCGGGAGGCGCCAGGAAAATCAGCTACGTGAGCTGATTCTCAAACCCCCCCTTTGC